GGGGGGGGTTCTGGCGATTTGTTTCGGGCGGCGGAGCGGGGGGAGGGGGGCGCTAGGCCTCGGTGGAGGTGCTGGTGAATGGGGAGAGGAAGGAGAGGGAAAAGGAAGGAATTGAAGTAGTACCAGTTATACACCAGAATAAACGAGATGAGAAATCGGGAAAATGGGAAATAGAAGAAAATGGCAGCTAGTGTGAAGAGGGAGGGAAGGGAGAAAAAGTAAGGCCCTCACAAAAGGGGAGAAAAGGGAAGATAATTCGGAGGGAAACAAGAAAGGGAAATGGAGAGACGAGGTAAATATAGTAAGGATAGGCAGGAAAATAATAAAGACAGGATGGAAGGGGAGGGAAGAGTCGATAAAACAATAAACCAGAATGGAAAGAAGTAAGAAAAAAAAAACGGCAGAGGGTAAACAAAGTGAATATAGAGTAACGGAGAGGAAACAAGAAATGTAACGCGAGACGAGAAGAGTAGGGACAGGAGGAATGAAGCCAATTAAAGTAGCAACAAGACTATAAATGGAAAAAAGAGAGAGAATTTGAGAGGAAAGGAGAGCAGATGAGAGCCGGACGAGGCGGGCGCGGGTGAGGCAGTGGCGGCCCCGGATCGGTCGACGTTGAGATATTGGCGCGATGTTGTGTCACACGTGGTATTGTGTACTGCAGTGTGTTGGGCTTTGAACCTGCGATATGCCCTCTGCCGCGGCCTCTGTGTCTGGGCCGGTGTTTATGGAGAGCGCGCTTGTTTATTTTGTTTGGGAGTGCGAGAGGGCGAGGGAGGAGAGGGAGGAGTGAAGCGCGAGTGGGAGTGGGAGGAGCGCTGCGTCCGTGTGTGTGTCTTTGCTTCCCGGTTTATGTGAGGGTCAGTCATTCACGTATTGCATCCTAAACCTTTTTCCTTTCTGTCTACGCGGCTCTGGAAGAAATCGTTGCATTGCATCACCGCATTTCGAACTAAGTGTTTTGCCCGCGCAGGAACCCTCGTGTTGTTCGACATTATTAGCCTTGATTACGAGGCACTCATAGGCCATCAAAGAGGAATATTGAATCCGGGTTCTTTTTAGCCCAGGGCATCGGTTTCGTGTTTTAGGCGAGGAGGAAATGGCTGTGCACTCGAGAAGCCCTTATGTAATGCCCAGGAAGTATCGCTTCCATTCTGCGTGTGTGTGTGTGTGTGTGTGTGTGTGTGTGTGTGTGTGTGTGTGTNCAATTAATAAATAATAATTAATATATATATATAATATATATATTATATATTAATATATGTAATATTATAATAATATATACAAATACATTATAATAATAATAATATATATATATTTATATATATATTATATATATATATATATATCTATATATATACAA